CCCCTTTTCTAATTATTTGTATTCTTTCTGGCTCCTTTCTCAGGTGGTTTGGTCAAGTCATCTGCTTCAGCTCTCTCATGCACCAAATCCACTTCAGAACCCTTTTCAGGGACCAGATGCCAGATTCTTTTCAAGTTAGAAAAAAAAAAAGAAAGAAATAAAAAAGCAGATATAGCTCCAGCATGAGGAGTGCCATGACTGGCATTGGGAAGCAAAGGACATCATGGGATGAAATTCCATTCCTGCTGTGGAGCAGAGCTTCAGCCCTGTTGGTGGGTGGGTGACAGATCTGTTGTGGCCTCTTTTGGATGTCCATAGCTTTGGACTGATTCTGCATCAGCTGGGATGTGCTGGAGGACTCTTCCATGTGGTATTTCTTTAAAAGGACAATGAGGTGTCATTCAAACACAGGAAAACATTCCAAAGAGCTCTCTCAGAAGGCAGAATATTTGTAACTCTTTCAAGATGGTTATCTTGCTTCTCATTTGTGACACCCCTCTGATGTTTGCTGTGTCCTTAGCCAAGCAGACAAGAGAGGCCTGTTTGTACCAGCTCCTGTCACCAGTTATCCTGTGCTTACTGACCCTTCTGGGCCACGTTTAGAGACATCAGGAGTCACATACTCACGTTAGCTCAGCCCCTGCCTGTGGCACCACCACACAGACTTAGCTGATTTTATTTTTGAGCTGACATCAGCAACAGCTGGAAGTTCCATTTAGTGTACTTAAGAGAGTGTTCTAATATCCCAGCAGAACTGGATAAAAACATAGTAGATAGTATATCATCAGTAGTTCTGACTGGAAGGATCCACCTGAGCAAGGACCAGCCTAGCTTTTATTTTCAAAGCTATGTGACCATTTTTATATGGTAACTCAGGAAAGACCTTTCAGCCAAAAAAGCCTTCAGCAACAGGATTTCAGCATCAAGATCTTATGCAGGTTTAGACAGATTTACCATCTCCCATTGGATCTGCAGCTCAGTGCTGCTGGAAACCAGTTTGCTGAAAGCCCAGAGTGCAGATACAGGACTCCAGCTGGAAGTGGGTGCTCTTTGGAAGTGTTGGTTTGAGCATCACGCAGTAGCCAATACTCAGTTACTAGGGTGGCTTCAAAAGGCACTGCTATTGACTCCAGGGACCCCCAAGCAAGCCCTTAGGTAGCCAAGTACATTTGATCCCAAACACCAGTAAAAAATTTCTTCCATCTGACAGAGCAAAAACAGAGACAGAGAGAAGCCAGTGGCTCACACCACTGGATGTGGGACTGGATGTGCTGTGTCCTGCTCTCCTGTCCACACCCTGGATTAAATTTTAAGCCTGAAAAACCTACTTTCCCTACAAACCATTCATCAAGAAACATAGAACTGAAAAACAACATTATGCTCAAAGATCCCCTAAAGCTGCTGTCTGGCCAAAACCAACACTTGCAATCTGTATAATGGCGAATTACTGTGTATCAGACCATCAGGAAAATACATATTATGTAAACAACCTGTTTCACCAAGTTCAGCAGCAGTTACCAGCGGTGCTGATGGAGCCATCAGAAACAGAGCCTTCCTGCAGTTTGTTACAGACATTCCTGTACAGGTCAATTATTACTGTGGCACCTCAAGGCAAATGTTTTGCAAGAAGTGTCTGTGTGACCCCCAGGGAGCTGTTTCTGGCAAACAACTGATGTTTCCAGTGTGCTGGGAGATGACAGTGTTTTTGAGAATGTTGCCAAAACTATATGGTGGATTTTGTAAGAACTAAGGAACAACAGGGATGTTTTGTAGTAATCCAGAAGCAGGATGAGAAGCGACAGATATTACTAAATGTCTTCATTTCATGCAAGGTTAGCCTGTACAGAGCTGTAGCAAATTTAGCACTTGTCTCATGCCTGTTATTATGTGGTTTTTCCTCCTGTAAATCATTTTGCCTAGCTGAGAAATCCTTTGCCTTGGTGGGATTTGTGCTTCTTGTTGTCTCAAAGATAAGGAACAAGCAGGGAACTTTCACCATTTTCACTTCCCACATTAAAATCCTTAGTTCTGGAGAGAACACTTGTCTGCTGGTGGCACAGGAGAAGCAGCTTGCTTGGATTTGTGCAGGTGGGAGGGTACATGATTCTGACTTTCAGGAGCTGTCAGGGTCTGTGCAGAGCATGACTGTAATTTGTTGCATGTAGGTGACATTTTCTACTTGTCTGTCCTGTCGAACAAAGCTTTTGACCATAATTCCTTCCGTCCTGGGCTGTGTTGGAAACATGTGGTTAGCCTGTCATTTTGTGTTGTCCAGAAGCTGTATCAGTGCCTCCCTGTGCAACCTCCAGCACCTGCCTAAGATCCCGAGCTAGGACGTCAGTGTGATGCCCAGAGATAGCTCTGACTGGCTTGGGAAATCCCAGCCTGCCTGCAGTGACCTGTAGTGCTCAGACAGCTTTCAGGACAGCTTGCTTTTGTCGAGTTTTGTTCACCAAAAAACGAGTCTGGAGGTGAACACGAGCAAAGACTAGATGGCAAAGACTAAGACTGGAAGAGAGAGGCCATTTTCTTTGGCAGCATTAAGAATGCTATCAAATACTCTTTTGCAACTAGAATATCCCTAAGAAAAGCAGACTTAGTAAAGACAGGTTTCTGTGAAAGATAGGTGAAAAGCAAAACTTTCTTGCATTGCTACCACAAAATACTGTTTGGAAGCTCAGTGTATTAACCAATATACCTCCCAAAGCCATTACATTTTCCTAATTAAACCTTCAAAAGCTTACATACAGCAATGGGTAGGCTTAAAGCCTTCTGCCTCTTAAATAGACTACACAGACCACCAGAGTATTTGTGTCCAGGCCCAGAAGAATATTTGATATGCAGAAGAGATAAGGGTGTCAGATCTGTTTGATAAAGAAATTACAACAGAGATTTGCTCTTTACCTGTGTGAGCAGGGCACCCTGACAACACATGCTTTGCAGCACAGCTGTGTATCTTTTCCTTTGTACCACTTGGAGCAATTAAAGAAGTTACAGTCTCTCACTTTCCCAGAGTCAGCCCTTGCAGTTCCTCGAGTTGTTGCAGAACTAGGCACAACACTGACCTAGAGCTGGAGTGGGTGAAAAATTGGGACAGAGCAGTGACTTTCTGGGAAACAATCCCACTCCAGGCTGAGAGCATGTTAGAAAGTGCCAGTGTCTGAACCATAGCACAATCTTGTGGTCTGTCCTTATCTCCCTCTACTCAAAGAGAGCCCACTCATTTGTCTCTGGCTTCTGGGACTTGTTCCCATTTTCAAATGGCTTTTTAGGAACAGCTTTGGAAAGTGAAGAAAAAAATTAATATTTGAGAAACTGCCATGCGGCTGTGTCTCACAAATCCTGGGGGTTGGATAACCTCAGTCAGATCCTAGCTTTCAGAGAGGCAAGTGGATGCTCCTGCAACAGCATAAACACAACCCAGCTGTCTATAACTTGCTAAAATGGAGCCCTACTGACGTCCCTTCCCTTGACTTTTACAGCCAATTAGAAAAAATTCCAGATTTTTTTTTTCACGTTGAAATTAATGTATTTTAATACTGAAGTCCATGTAGCAGCTGGAATTAAACCAGCACAGAAACATTAGGTTATTTTCAGGTCATCAATTACCAGTGTGAAGAGCAAAACACCAGCTTTTCAGTGTTGGGTTTGTGGCTGTGCTTCAACTCTGAATTGACAAGAAAAAAACTGCATTTGTTTCAACTGGAAAATAACAAACACAAGAATAGTCTGAAGTGCTCGTAGAAACAAGAATGACCAGTGAAATAATGTATGGTGTACACCATGTTTTCGTAACTGTGCCACTTCTTAATGTATGTAACCCTTAAAAAGCAATTTTTTGAGAGCAGGAGGGTGAGACTTTCTCATCTCAGTGGGAGCTGAGTTCAATCTGAAACCTGAACACTGCTACAGAGATAACGCCCCAGGATGAAGGAAAGCATGCAAGGTGTGTGTGCTTAAATCTCATACATACTCATAAGACAGCAACCATCAGATTGCCAGCTCAGGGCTCACAGTTTGAGTGCTGAGGGGAATTCAATAGTAGGAAACAGCTTACAGCAGATTTCTTCTCAGACAAGCATTGCAAAAACTTTGTGACGAGTTGTTTCCCTCTCCCCCCCAGCTCAGTTCCCTGTTTCCGACCCTACTGAAAAATTTTCTCCTCCTACTGAGAAAGGACACTGATGGAAAAATCTGAATGTGCAGAATGGGTATGGAAAGAACAGCATCCTCTCACTGTGCATTGTGAAACTTGGAAAGTCACAAGATGCCTGTTCTCCCGAGTGCGGGGAGTT